TGTTTGCTAATTAAGCCTTTAGCATATTTAGTATTCTACATTAGTTAGTTGTTGAAGACAGTTTAATGTTTCTTGTCATATGGAGATGTGGATGCAATTAAGGGACACTTTAAATTGTACAGAAAGGTTTGGATCATAATCATGATGAATAATATAGTTGTATAACTTCCATAGTTCAAGTATTTCCTTACATGGCTCTTATGTTTTGGACAGCCAGCTAATGAATTTACAGTATTTACAGCTGCTGGTTGCAGATGTCAGTAAGACTTTTCTCTTTGAATTGGAACAGGAAATAGCAGCTTCTCTTTCAGCAATACACTGAAGTAAATATTTTGGTGGCTACTAAGAAGTGCTGTATAGAGTATCTCTTGGTGAATGGACAAAATGTAGCAGCACAGTTCATTCATGTTCACCACACCTACAACCTTACAATGACCTTGCTCAGTTGACTGTGGCACCTCTCTCCTCTTGCACCCGTCTCCTTACCACTGTTTACTGCTCTTCTGAAGTGGAACCATGTCAGACTGGGCCAGTGTGACTATGTGTGGTACGCCCTTTTGACATCATCCTTTTGCCTCAGCACAATATCCAAGTCAGGCTCAGAGATTTCCTTGGACCCTCAAGCCCTTTAATCCGCTCTTGCTGGCCATGCACAGCCCTCTCACAGAGCATTTCTCCTTTTCCGCTTCCCTTTTGTAGCTCTTTCTATAGCTCACGCTGTTTTTACAATGTGTTTAGCAATTCTCTTTTAGCATGTGAATCTATGTCTGCTGCTCATTTGTCCACAGACATACCTATTTGTATTTGTTTTTCCAATGTGTTTAGTCTATTTAGAGTAATCAGGAAAGATTAATGTGCTCACACAACCTTCTTTTCCCTGCATGAATCCTGAATAGCAGAGATACAGAACCCATTAATGAACGTTTTGAGCCTGTGGCATGCCAAATGCCAGACTGCACCTCCTCCTTTTGAACACAAATGCCTGTGATCCAAGGGGATTACAGCTCCCATTATCCTCTACTAGCATGGCCCTAGATGTGACAACAAATCTGTAGGACAGGGGTGGGTGATCTAACCATTCCTATAAACAATTCATAAATTGGGCTCTATCCTGAAGATTCATAAAATATTCTCTTGATTTTTTTCTTCCTCTGAGTTTGTGATACGTTTTTGATCATTGACTGGTAGGCATCCTTTCACTCTTACAGAGATTTTGAATTGTTTTGTTCTATTCTGGCAACATGTACTTAGGGCTGCTGAAGTGGTTGTAGAAATCAATCATTTTCTTAAGCATCAATCTCAATAGTTACATAATCAGAAACAGTTAATTCTTCATTTAATGGAATTTGTTGTTATTCACCTTTTGTATGTATAAGAAACTAGTGAAAAAAAGTGCATTTTGGGAAGGTGTGAAAGAAGAGAGTTTCTGTTGGACTACTATCCATCCCACTGCATAATGTTCTATTCAGACTGCTGAAGGGATGGGGTCGAAGAAATGCACATGGTGGGCATGTCATGAGTGGAGCCGGCTGGAGCTGGTGGTCAGACTAGAGGGCCTGGGAGGCCCCTTCTGACTTGCTCTGTTTCTATGTTTCTATGAACGTTGTACAGCTGCTGGTGTTTGGGGATTTTACCATCCACACTGAGTTGTTTTCTGGAGTAGCTGGGAACTTCATGGTTTCCATGGCAACCATGAGCACATTTCGCATTAGACTAGACTCAACGTATGTGGCAAGCCACAGGATGTGGAACAATAAAAGGCTCCCATCTCCATGGGGAGCTGCTGCCTTGCCACCCCCCCCCCCAAATAATGGAGTTCTTCCACAAAATTTCAAACAAATGTTTTTGATACCTGCAGGGTATGAGTCAAAAGGGGGAAAGATGCAAAGGAGAAAAATGGCTCCTAGACCTCTCAGTGATCCCAACTTTATGTTTAACAGATAAAGTCACTCTAAAATACAAGCTAAAGACATGGACAAATTATTTGGAGGACATATTCCATGTATCTGCATATTTGCTCATCCTGGCCACTGAAGTTTGCCAAGGCCTGGGTGTGGAGTATGGGTCATGGAGGTGTGAGATTGTAACATTTGTAGATGTTTGTATAGTTCTGATGGCAGTGCTTGTAGAACTGGGTCCACTTTTCCCATAATACAGGATTCAAAGGTGGTTGACTTAGATTCTGATTCAGAAGAGAAAGAAGAGACAGGGTTGGAATTTGTAGCTAAAATGTGAAGGCCAATGATAAGCCAGGCAGTTGCTGAGAACCAGACAGTTTCAAGTTGAGTTGGGAAATCCCAGAGAGCAAACAAAGATGAATCGGATAGACCTGCTATAATTAGTCCAATTATAAAATGTCAGGTTATAAGGGGAGACCAACTGAGAAAGGTCAAATGTTCCCTGCAATTTACCATTACTGTCGTGATCCACCTTGAAGGTGGAACCAGTTCTTTGTGGTTTGGAAGGGAAAAAAGCATTCTTTTTGGAATCAACTTTGTCTTATTAAGCCACATATCCTTAATAGCCAATATTCTAACTTTCACTTGTTTCTGTTGCTATTGCTATTCTACAATACTCTTCTTCTGTACTGTAAAGTCAGGGAAACTGGTCAGCTTTAACGTAATGAAACCTTTTGTAAGAAAGCTTTTTTGCTGATCTGCTTGAAAAGAGGTGAATAGACCTGTCCCAGGCAGTGGTGATCATACTGTCCGCCTTTCTTGCTGCAACTGAACGTAGTTTCCCTTGTTTTTCTTACAGAAGATGACGGTGTAAAGGCAGAAGCATTGCTTCATTCTGGCCTTTGCTATATAGTAACTTCAGTTTGTAAAGAATTAAAAGAAAGCTCAGCAGCACTTTGTTGTATGATTGACAGTGGTAGGGGTGCATATATGCACTCAAAAAGCTCCCAAAATCACTCCCCCCCACACACACTCACACGCTTAACCTCTTAATAAACTCAGGCCATTTGATAATATAGTTCTGGGTTTTTGGCTTTGGTTTGTACTCTGCTAGTCCATCCTCCCTTGATCTGGAGAACTGCCCAAGAAGGTATAGCTTTTGGGGCCTTTCCACACTCCTTTATGGGGGTACTCTTATTATTTAAACATTTGCCCCACTATAGATGGTGGAGCATCTCTATGAACATCTTAATTTTTTCCTGGAAAGGGGTAGGCATGATGAACTGATGTCCAGCCCATGTTTCCATTGTGTTTATGCCAAATGTACTACATAGATGTAGTCACTGTGGTTTTATATATCTGCTGCTGTCACTTCAAGTAACTGAGTATCTATTGTTACATGCTTTTATTACTGTTCAACAAGCATCTAGAGGTGAAGCTGATTTTTTTTTTTTTTTAAAGAGGATCGATATTAAATTACCAAAGGCCTGTGTGTCAAATGACAGGTCTTTCTAGGACTATCACTGCAGCACCTGAAAACAAATGCAACTAACCTTTTAAAATGTGGCTTTGTGTTTAATAACCTAGATGAATGATGCATGAACAATGCATTCAGTTATATGGAAACCGGTGGGGCGGGGTGCTTTGTTTTGTTAACAGAGCAGATAAATATGTAAACAAGGTGACTTTCACCATCAGATAATATGCAAACCTGTCCAGCTGACCTGTGTGTTGGAAAAAGAGCTGTTGTAAAGAAAATCATAGTGCTACATCTCCTGTTGATATGCAGCCTGCATCACAAATCGATCTCTTTCAACATTGTGTGCAGGTTGAAACTTGTTATTCATTCCTGATTTTCTAAGGATCAGTGCTATGAGCATTATAACTGTGTTCATGAGAGAATAGTTCTGCAATTCATAAGGATCTCCCCTTGAATCTGCACATTGGTGCATCTGTGCATACATACTCTGCTGGCAGTGATTCTTTGAGGGTTTTAGGAGGATTTTTCTACCAGCTGAGTTTCTAAGTGAGGAGAGAGCTTCTGTTGAGCTGGATAATTTCTACATGTAGTCTCTTCTCTTCCTTAGCTGTGTAATTCAAACAGCCAACCAAACAATAAACATGAGGCTTGTAAAATATGTGCATCTCAGGAATTGTTCAGAGGTACTGAGATTAGCAACCCCAAAGCCTTAACACTGAGCAAGAACATTGCTGAGAAATGCTGAGAATCTCCTTCTAGGCCTCCAGTGTGCTTTGTCAAATGGCAATTCAGCATGCCCTCCTAGATGGCTTCAGAAAATGTGGAAAAACATGAGGTGTCGTGGTTGAAAAAGTACTGTTCTCTCACGGCAAAACTTCTGAGCAGTGCATTTGAGAAGGCTGTCTCTTCCTGCCGCATGAAGGCATGGCTTAATTGTCTGTTTTGTCACCCAGCATGACAAATGGGGAACAGTAAGATTCTCTTATGGCAAGGAAACCACTTCTGGCTGTAGGTGTGGGGTAAAAGCAGTACTGTATCCCGAGTGCCAAAAGGCTTGCGGCTTGTTGCCAAATGTGCTATTGCTTGTGGCAAAAGAGGGAAGAGAATGAGAAGGGCCCTTCCATGGGAAAGGTGGTAAAGCTTCCTTCTGCCAGTGCTAATTTAGCTGATGCCTACCTGCTGCTTGGTAGGTAATAACTGTGCTAAAGAGATTGTCTTCAGGGCTGCATCTCCCTGTGCTTTCCATGGAGAGTTTCTTAGGCTTCTGTCCAGGAGGAGCCTGAACTTTGCCTAGAAACCTGGGCAGCTTTTGCCTATCAGTGTGGACAATATTGAGCTGGATAGAGCTCAGTTGATAGTCCCAGATACTGGTTTATGCATATGAAAGTGTGGGCAGTCATTTGCTTTATGGGATATTTGCATTTCACAACAGGACCATGGACAACAAACTTAGTCTGAGATTAGCAAATCTTTCCTAGTACCTTCCTGGTCTTGATGAGCCAGTGATTGCTTTCTGCTTGTTGAAGTATTACATGTGCTTCCATGCACATCCTGTCTCTGCTTCTGCTTTCTTGTTCGAGGTTGGATTGCAGCAATGGACTAATGTCTCTCTCTTCTCCTAGGTGCCTACTGATGGGAATGCTGGCCTGTTGGCAGAGCCCCAGGTGGCCATATTTTGTGGCAAACTGAATATGCATATGAATGTCCAGAATGGAAAGTGGGAATCTGATTCTTCTGGAACCAAGAGCTGCATTTCAACAAAAGAAGACATTTTGCAGTACTGCCAACAAGTAAGTTTCTGATTAAACATAACATCATCATCATTATCAAACATCAGCCACCAAGGCTTCTTCCTTTGAGAAGAAGAATCTCAAAGGAATAATAATAATAAGAAGAAGAATCTTCTTGTAAAAAGAAGAATTTGAAGAAGAATCTTCTGTAAGCTTATTCCCCTGAATTGACATGTTTCTTTGTTCCACTTTGTGTGAGTTTCTCTAGCTGAGGCTGTGGGCAGTGTTATGCCTTTAAATAAGGAAAGGTGTTCAGTCTGCCATGGTTAATAGGTTTCATAGCTCTTCTGAAGATAAGAAGCCCTCTTTGGATTAAAGAGTCTCTAGTTTATGTCAAAGCAATGCCAAGAGATGGAGATAAGGTACTCCAGATGTCATACTTGGACATAGTGTGTTGAGTTACAGCTTATTACTTTCTCCTGTACAAAAATTGTGTGTGTGTTTACTGCAGCTGGTTAGCCTTTCAGAGCAAACTAAAAAATGGGTTGTTGAAGGATGGCTTCTTTAAATTTTTCAAATTCAGTGAGAATGATTGTATAATATGAAACAATGTATTAATAGTTGTTTTGTGTAATGGAATTTCCAAAAATGGCCCTCTAATGAAAAAACTAATTCTGTGCAACTTGCTGCAACACACAGCTGATTTCCCTCCTGCCTTGTATTTCTAGCTGGTGTTTCATTTGTATGAAATGAAGAAACTGGGTGTGGAGTCTGGATGTCTGCTCTTCCAGCTCTCGGTGTCTTCAACCTTTTCAAAAATTCCCTAAATCTACTGCTACTCCAGCAAGTGGAGTCATTAATCCCTCCTTTTTGCAACTCCCTTTTGGAACTTTTATTGCTGCAGTTACTGCCCATCAGAGGATGTGCAAATTTTTCAATGCAAGTTTTCCTGATAGTTTAAAATATGCCCTGAGAAGATGGCTGCATGGGACAAAGTGAATGGGGCTGAGGGGCAGAATAAGCCACTGCTGGTGTGCTCCATCTGGTTCAGTCACTGTAGGTATCTAGGCTGGAAAGTAAATAGAGTGAAAATTTACTCAAATTTAAGGGCTGGGGCTTATACAGAGGTAAAATTATGCACCTGCAGGAACTGTTCTGAAAAGGAATTACAAAAGGGTAAGGAAGCCTATGCCTTCCCTTTCCAGACTTGCTAGAGATTTGGGAAGCATTGGACCGATTTTGTTTGTTTATTGTATTAGTATGCTGCCCCATAGCCCAGGGGCTGGGCAGCTCACAGAAACCAGAAACAGTAACATAATATAGCAAAGTAAGTGAAGTAAAGCAATAACATCTAAAACCACATAAAACCCTACTAATATAAGGTGCGAAACAGGAGGATATTATAAACAACAATAAAAACATCAATAAAACCAGCAGCAAAAAGCAAATAAAACTCTGATTCTATAAGTACTAAATAAAAAAGGCTTTACCTGGCAGAGAAAACAGAATAATGAGGGTGCCAGTCAATTGCAAGAAAATTACATTCCCAAATGGGTAATATTGCTCCCCTGCTTTGGCTCTCTTATTGCTCTTGTCTTTTCCTCCCATTGTCCTTTCTTCTGAACTACACTGCCAGGTCCGTCCTTTCTCTTATGATTTTTAGACCCTTGGTCCTTCACAGCTGCAAACCAGCCTATATGTACTCTCATATTGTAGATTCTCTTGTGAGTTACCTACCTCAATTCACAGCTCCCATTGGCTTCATCTCTTCCCTATTCACAACCAAACCTGCCTTTTGTAATACCTTGCCTGATAAAAAAGAGGATAAGTTCTTGAAAACGTTCGTTTTTAAAAAACAAAACAAAAATACATTAGTTGGCCTGATAAGAGTATTATACCAATATAAATTTTGGAATTTCCCAAGCAACTCTGTATGAATGTGTGTCTTGTTCATATTGTTTTCCCTAAAAACCATTTATGTTTTTAAATGGACTTTCAGTCTATGGAATGGTATAACATAAAGATAGATGAATTCTAAATGTCAGAGTCTGGCAAGTTTCTAGAATTCTCTCTGTGTAAATAGTTGCAATGACTACATTCAAAATGAATTTCCTTAAACATAGTCCATTGGATATCTCCCCTGCCCCAGTGCCTGTTATTGGGAGAATAATTTGTGACAGCTGACTGAATATAGGAACTGATAGGTACTTCTAACAAACAGGGCTTGCAGAAAAGTAGAAAGTGGCAAGACTAGATGGCAACACCAAAAGAAGGAAATGGATATCAGGAATAGTTGCATTAAAGCAACTGGTTTCTTTTGCTCTGCTTTGGAGTCCTTTATTGCTTGACTCACCATGCATGCTTTGTATTCTGGAAGCGGGGAGAGACAGCTGCTATATCCTGTTACTTTTTTTGTCCTTTTCATTCTGCCAATTATCCAGCCAGCAGGACCAAGCTGTAGATCAGATGCAGAGAGATTTGTGCAAGTTTTCAAATTTCCTGTTTGCAGAAAGCAACATAATGTTAAAGCAGAGGGATAGAACTACAGGCACAAAAAGCAGGAGTAACACCCCACTCCCACTGCTTGGTCTTTAGCGGCAAACAGAGTTATTTCTCTGCCCGCTCCCTTCCATCACAAAGCTTTCTCAGTGAGGCTAATCTCCTTTTTATGACTTGGGTGGCTGCTGCTGATATGATTGAAAGATGAGTTGGGCAGGCAGGTGGTAGCCTTTTTTTAAAAGTCCATTCATCAACCACACCAAAATGCTGCTGAAGGAGATTGATCCAAATGACTCCACAGCAGTTTCTCCTATAAATCTGGGAGAGGCTTCCCCATTTTTCTTCTTATCACTGGAGCAGGTGGGGGTGAGAATCATACCTGGAATGAGAGCTAGAACCTCAGTTTTAGCCATAGATTATGACACTGACTTGTTTCAAATAAGCATAGTGGAGATTAACCACAGGTGTCATGTCGTGCTGGGAACAATCTGCAATGGAAGCAAAATTTTCTCATAGTTGTGCCAGAAGAGTGGGAGGAGGATGCAAACCAGGGGCTGCTGAGGCCTGTTCTTATAATGCCAGAGTCCCCAACCAGTGTCTCTGCTTACTAGTAGTGATAGTGAAGATAAGATAAGATAACTTTTGGCTTGTCTTGGATGTGCATGTTGATGAAAATATCCTAAAACAGCCTTCCCTAAGAGGCTGCTGTCCAGATGTTTGGATATATAGTTCTGCACATTACTGACTCTTAGCCTTGCGATTAATGGAAGTGGAAGGCCAAAACATCTGGAGGAGACCAGATAGAGGAAGGCTGGCCTGGCATGTGCTGAGTTCTGTTCTTCCAGATCCATGATGCCTTCTCAAGGATCTTGGACTTTTCTGTACTTGCTCATATTACTAACAGGTTGTATGCCACTTAAAAGCACAAACCAAACCTGCCAGTGGTGTGTGTTGTGTATGTGGAACTGCCTGAAGAGGTTTTGTATATCAGAGTATTAAAATGCTTGCTATGAGTGCAGTATTCAAAAACAATCCTGGTGAAACTGTGTTTGTGAGGTAACATGAAGCAAGAACAATTGTTTCAGCTTTCTTTTAGGCTGTTAATTTCCAGTCCGCTATCACCTTGACATTTGTGAAGGTCATTTCAACAAATGTTGTGGTTTAGCAAAACAGGCCCTGAATACTGAAACATTCCATTATATTGTTAATTGTGTGGAATGCATGATGGTAATCATTGCCCACCCCTGAAGCACCTAGTACTTTTGAGAACTCAACATTACAACATAATCATAAAACTATTTCTTCTTACTAGCATGTGAGACTAACACCTTCAACAACTCCCTAAACTACTTTTTTTCTCCTAAACAAGGATCAGGTTCTAAAAAGCTGCTTTAGGCAAGCCCAATTAAAGTTTTGTTGTTGTTGTTGTTAATGTTAATTATTTGGACAGGGGTTTGACCCCGTTCCATTTTCCTTTGATCTTTCCCATCACTGGAACACAGTCCTCAAGAGCTTCTCTGAATTAGAATTTGGTTCTTAATCTGAAAGAGGTTCAGCACTTAACCTAATAATGACATAATGTGTGCTCTCACAAGCTGCCATGATGCTGCAAGTCAAGAGCTTGAATGGACACTGTAGAAGTCATGGGGCAGGAGGCCTTTTGCAGAAACAGTGCCTCTGCGTAGTCAATTGCCATGGTACTGCATGCAGAATGTTCATTGTGATCTGCCTCAGAGAAGCACCAGTTTGTGCGGAGAAAGCTTGGAAGGAGCCAAGGAAGAACAAAAGGTATTCTAGTAACCCAGCAACAGCATGAGCTGCCCATCAGGTCATTGGGAGTGGGCCCTGGAATGAAAAATGGGAAACATTGATTTAGGTCCCATTCCAGGCAGAACTTCCCTTTTTTTGCAAATCTTGGTGGCAACAATTATTTTAGATCAGTTTATCATAAGGCATTATTGCTGTATAAAACCAGATGAAATGAAAACAAAAGGCAAGGCAAGTCAGTTCATCACATTTGCAATGCACCTTCTCATTCATGAAAGACAGGCATGGTCCCTAGCAGCAGAAGTCACAACTTTTACAGCTTTGCTGGTCATGAATGTGTCTCATTTAGTTAATGGATGCATGAGCCTCTACTCTAGAGGATAGTTATTGGAATGTGTTGCTCTCAATCACCCATTCTTAATGCAGTGAATTTTTGTAGTCCCTGACTGTTTAGACTTGAAATTGCAACAAAAGGTGGACTTGATATAAACACTGAAAAGACATTTCCAGCATACCCCTGGGCTTTAAGCTAAGCATTCATAAATTCAAGAAAATTACTGCACTGAAGGTATTCCACCCCCTTCTAGGCTTGGAAGAGCCTAGCGCAACAGCTTGATCCCAGGATATCGTGTGGAGACGCAACAGTTCATGGCTGAGGCGGCAAAGGCACAATGCAGTCCAAGTTGGCTAGCTGTCCTTGGAATATACTCTTGGAGTAGATCAATACTACATTTATTTTTATTTTATTTATTTTTATTTTATTTAGAATTTTTGTATGCCATCCCATTCGCATG